AATCGAAGCTGCCGTTACAATGACATTATTATGTGCCCTTGCTGCAACCATACAATCAACTACATCATGTGAAAAATACTCACTCATACAGCACTACTGTAAGGAGGAACAATCAGCTCAACACAATGAATTATTGTCTCAGAAACAACTATTGCTGGCTATTTCTGCTTTTGCTACTTCTGTCAAATATGAATGCATCAGCATGTAATGTAAGCCTTTATTAAACAGTTTGGATCTCCAAAGCATAGCAGCAAGAGAGACAAGTAGCCACTGAACACATGGCTGGAAAAGCACATAAACAGGCATCCCTAGAAATTCACCTCAAATAAAAACCTTTCGTTGTAAAGACACTTCAGCCCATACAAAATAACAGCATATTCAGGCCAAAAAAAAGCTATTGATTGTAATGTATGAAAGGCTTAAAATTCCAGCTAAGCCTCTTATTGAGAGTCAAGCACCTGTATGCTTCCAAACAGGAGCGGTGCATTACACTTTCCTGTTAAGAATGAAGTAGCATGTTAAAAAATCAATTTCCTGAGGGGTGTTCGGTTACAGCAACATTCAGGATGTATAATTATCCACACTGATCTAGACAGCAGATAACATCCAGAATTTCAAAAGGCAGATGACCTTTGATTGTATATAGTAAGTGAATGAGATTTGTTGTTATGATCCAGAAATAAAATGTCTGAAATACAACAAAGGTAAAAAAGGGAGGTGGGGTGTCTTTTTAAATTCTTTAGAGAAGTCGTGAACGTTGCCGTCCCTACAGTCCAGCCAGTGTCACCAGCCGACTAAGACCACGGTCCCCAAAGCAGCAAAACACATTTGGCGAGTACTACCACAATCGTAATCCATTCACTGGTTGTAAATTTCAAAGCTGCGCTAAGACTGATCAGTTCTTAGTAACTGACTCCAATCGATAAACAACTGGCATTTATGAACTGTGTAGCAGGCACGTCAGGTCATTTCCAGATCCCACCTACTTTCTCTGCACCCAACCCTTCTCTAAATGTCATTGCTCACAGTGATCAAATGCAAATAGAAACACTGCAAGCATTTGCAAGAGTGGTTGTTTAGATAAAAAGTGTTTATAAAACTGCACGAAGCAGCAGATTCTATCTGTTACACAAGCTCACGTGAACAGTTGTATACCTGAATAACAGGACTGTAGAGATTTGCTATTTTTAGCCACAACTGAAAGCGTTATGAATTACACTGTTATACAGCTGCTCGACCTTGTGTTGTTTTAAGGTGTTGTTACAGACTATGGCCATTTATTAGACTTTCTATAAATCTATAACCGTCGGGCTACTTTTGTCACCATTTGAACTTGTATCAGAGGATTTCAGCGTGTACAAGACCTAAATAAAAGGTAGATATAATAAAAAACCTCCATGTTTTAATTACGCTACAGGCCGATATTTACTGCCCTGTTTATATTCAGATTATAAAATGTAATCAGAACACAGATGGGGAGTTCAAGAGTATGCAGAGACTGCACTACAGACAGAATAACAACACCAGCAAAGTTAATCTTAGGTTTCAGTTCCTAGAGGAAGGTTAAACTCTACACACTTTGACTTCTGACTGAAACCTACTGGGAGCAAATTACTAAAATAACACTTTTTTGGGATCATAATAAAGATTGATTTGGTAAATACATTTTACATTATTTTACAGTGAAATACAGCACCTTGTTCCATAAACTAATTCTCCGAATACTACTTAATACCGAAAGGCTATCCTAATCTGGGTGGAAATAGCAGAATTTCGTTTCATCCAAAATATTTCAAGTTTTTTCCCTGCAGCAAATGTATTTTCTTATTCCTCTAATCCATCAGAAATGTGCACACAAGGCAGAAAACACATGTCCCTCGTGAAACAGGTTTGGTAAGATGAAATCATGAAATTAGTGAATAGCTGAAATACTTTCTTTGAAAAACTCTACTCACTCCCAGTGTCTGGATTTCAAAATAAGTGTAATGAACCATGCCTCGTGGGGAAAGGCCTGGTCCATAACCCTCTGTTAACTCAGCAACTTTCTGAAAGATGTCTAGTTAAACCTTTCATTGTATGACAGACGCACCTATTTATGTCCTTGAAGAAACTGCTGCAAGTGTGTAGGAGGCACACATATCAATTTTATGGGTATCACAAAAGATACACCCTTTCTAATTTAGTCTGGCCAGCATCAGCGCCTTTCTTTATCCTTTGGAATGAAAACACCCATGCTTTTAATACTGCTGTTTGCCTGGACTCATGGGTGGTTATTTGTCATTTTTCTACAATGGTACCAGAAGACCCAGCTGTAGTTTAGCCAAACATCTTAAAATTTACAAGCAGGGCCGTAATGCTGGAAAACATCCTCCAATAGTTTTCATAGGAAGTGTTGTACAATAGGTTTCTCTACACCAAACACTGGAAGTGTGGAAAATTTGATGATGAAATAACTGGTAATAGCTAAGAGATTACTTTATTAGCCATATACAATTTCTTGCATTAGGATTTTGTCTTTTCGTATACCCCAGCTTGCTCTCCATGAGACATACAGACGGGAAGAGAGAAGTTGGGGGACAGTCAGCCATTTATACGGTGCCCCTGGAGCAGTTGGGGGTTAAGGGCCTTGCTCAAGGGCCTAACAAAGTAGGATTCCTCTGTCGGCCGCGGGATATGAACCGACAACCTTCCAGCAGACCCTTAGCCACAGAGCCACCACTATACCACAGATGACAGTTAAATGAAACATCAGTATCTCTGATAATCATGAAATAAACCTGCACTCCATGTCCAAGGAGAGCTGGATAATTTGGGCGTCTTTGACCAGTCCTTAAAAAAAGAATCCCCAAAGGAAGACTTACTTTAAAACTGGCTATTCCACCCATACACACCAGGGTCAGTTTTTCCAGGAGTCAAATGACTTCCCAGTGTGATCTCGGACTGTGGGAGGAAGCCCACACAAAGATGGGAAGAACATGCAAACTCCACACAGAATTGAACCCGGGCCCCCAGCGCTGCAAAGCAGCAATGCTACCCACTGCACTACCTTGGCACAGCCCAAAAACACAGTATTTCCACAGTCAAAGAGAAAGAAAATGGGTTGCAGCCTGATTATAACAGGGAAACCTTGTATAGTATAAAAGAACCTCTAGATAGCTACTGTTATTTTTCAAGGGTATTTGGAACCCAGCTTTCCCATGATAAATAACCCCTTCCCCATATTTTTACATTCCTCTTGGTCAGTTTTATTTCTGTGCCACCCCTAGCAGAGATGAGCCATGCTCCCACATGACAAATACATCCAAAACAAAGCACACAAAACTCCAACAGAGGATGTTTATTACCTCTACAAATCTAGTGTTTCGGCCGATAAAGACTATTTAAGTGTCAGCTGCATAATGAAAATGCTTCATTGTACAAAGAAAATCACTCAAACCTAAAATAACATATTAAAAACAATATTTCCATTGTTCCAGGTGAGCAATTGTGCAGTAATACACCTTAATCACCCTGTCATGAGAAGATCTTCCTTCCCCCCCTTAGAGAAGACAAATAACCAGAAACTTCCTTCACAAGATTAACCAACCCTTTTAAACACGCATTAAATCTCTTTGAGCTCTCTCAGCTCTTTTCTCGCTTAAAGTAGATGGGAACTTTCCATTACGGGAACAACAAATTGGACAGGAGAAATTCAAGACGGCAGTAACTTGAGCACACAGGTCAGAGCGATCTTCACACCAGAACCCGCGACAGCACTGATGACTGCACCTCCTTCCTCAGGTCTTCCTGACAAGCACTCCATCGTTCGCGTTTTCGAGTCCTAAAACGGTCTTTGATTTCCCTGCAGTTACAGATAATAAACCATGCATGCTCCTAAGCACACTGCTATTAATTTCACCTCAAATAATGCAGTCAGACCTCCCTGTCAGATCTCCTAGAGGTCTGGGGATGTACAAATGTCCAGATCTAAGACTGACAGCAAAATCCCCGAGTCTGCCAACAGTTCTGAAGAGATCTGAAGCAGAGCGTTACAAGGTTAGCAAACTGAGGGGACAGACGTGAAGCAATCAATTCGTACAGTATGTCAGTAATAAGAATTAAACCTGTGAAAAGTCTTCGTGCTTTAAGAAAGTCTTGCGTATAAAGTCATCGATGCGTTTTTGCACAACGACTTTGCTTTCACAATTAAATGTTATTTAAGATGAGCTTTTCCCAAGCAAGAACTTTCACCTCCCGAGGTAAAAACTACAAAAGTTGAGAGAATCAAAATGCTATAGCTACACCTTGCCTGTTGCGATCGTAATCAAATCAAAAACGGCCCACCTGCGAAGCACAGGGGGGGAGGCTCAGAGGCAACGTGATCTGCCACTCATTTGTACTAGATACGAGATACAGAAACATATTTCAAATCAAACTTTTTATTTTACTTTTTCCTTAGATGGTGAATTGGAACTTCAGCAAAGCTTTGTAGTAGTGTAAAAGTTAAGGTTCCCCACTGTCTTTAAGAAGCCAACTTATTCAAAAGAACACACTAAAATTTGATGTTTCTTCCCACACAGTAAAAAGAGATGACAAAAGCATGAGAATACAGTAAATGCAAGCATGAGTATATTTACACGCACGTTTTCACACAGGTACAGATGCGCCAAGCTCCAAGTACCTCCACACAAAATACAAAAGTTGTATTTTAGCATGAGAAGGTATGCAATCTACCCGCAGAGCACTGCAAGAATATTTAAGAAGGCGCAACGTACAGTAACTTGTTGCAACAACAAAGCTGGAAATCTAAACGTGAAGATAAAGAAGTCATTCACTGCTGATGCCGCACACGAGCTCCCCAGAGCGCGCGCCCCTCCCAGACGCGCCCGCACTGCCGCGAGGACGGCATAAATCACAGCACCGGGAGCGGAAAAGGCCAGAACCCGCATTCCTAAATGAGACGAACCGGCCGTATACAGAATACAGCAACGATTACATTGCGTGCCGACGTTTGTCCTTACCATTTCTTCGTGCATTCTACCATAAGCTCCTGGTACGAAGCCACGAACTGAAATTTGGATGCATGCTTCCCAACACGTTGCAATCTTTTCCACACAGAAGCCATATTTCCTGGTGAACAGATGTTCTTTTTTTTTTTGTTGTTTTCTGCTTGTTTTATTGTGGGAGGGTTAATAGTGGCCACCAGAGAACCTCACTTTGTTTATGCGAGCATGACAGTTATAAACACAACAAACGCCTATTGCCGCGGTCCTGCTGAGGTGGCATGCCTTCAATTCTCAGGATCACGGCAGAGATAAGACATTCCTCTTCTGCTGGGAGCCAAGTTTGACAGGAACATGCATGGTCTGTGGCAAAAAAAGGAAGTTCCCAGACTATTTTATGTAGGCATTCTTCTTTAATCTTTGTCCTGGTTTTCCCAACCTACTGGAAGACGAGAAGAGCAACGTGTTACAATCTGCATGACTGAAACATGCCTAATGAATTCCACGTAACAAGTAAAGATCTTTAGATAATTAGTTTACAAGACACGAGACGTGCCTGAAGGATGCATTTCAATTTGGAGTAAGACTCCATGCTAAGCAGCCTTTCACTTAAAAACTGCTATACTGTACATAAAATATAATTATTAACATCCGGAATTTACGATAAAGGTCTATTTGTGTAACATTTTCTAAGCAAAACCTTAACTACATTTAAACGGGGTCGTTTGTTTACTGACATCCAAATATAACTATAGTATTCCTTTGAAATTTATGTCACTGTTGTGCCACAATAGTGCAGCGAAATATTACTAGGATGGGAGTTTTGTTTGCCAGAAATTTTAGTTGGCAGAAGAAAATGCAATAGCTCAACACAAGTAAATCAACTCAAAGTAAATGCAGATCTAGTAACACGGTAAACACATTTTTTAGCTTGCATACAGTACATGCACATCTATTTACATGTTTACGAACCGTCGTTCTTGGAAACTAAAATTCTCTTTCATAAACCTCCTAGCACATCTTAGCCATCTCAGGAAATAATAAGTTAGTTAACGCATTGAATACGAAAAACTACACCATCGCCAAGCATAAATGAAATATAACACATTTCCACGACTTGATATCTTAATTCCTGGTGCACCGATGTAAACACCGTCTTATTAACAATCATCATTAAGAAAAAGCTTACTTACCTTCTCCAAAAATCTAATCCCAGCCCCGCTACTACATAATGTTCCTTAGTACTTCTGCAGTATCAGCCATTTCAATTAAAAAAGCGAGCCCTGCGATAAAGCTGTTTAAACAGTTTAGCGATTAAAAAGCCTAAGCATGGAGTGACACAACGGCGCTGGAAAAGGTATAAAAACGACAACAACACAGATTCCAAGACGAGTCTATAAATTCCAACAAGCTCCAGACTAACAAACTCAACAATCAACCCTGCATCATTTTCTCCTTACATTCACTCAAACATTAATAAGATTTGAGGAAACGCCCCCTGACGTTTTCTATTGGCTCCTTGAGCGCAGAGTCTCCCAGGTGTTTATTCCTATCTGCTACTGGAATGGCTTCTGCACACTTTCGTTACCGGATTGCTTTGCTATTGGTCTTTGGCGAAGTCAGTCTCTGTCATAAGGCCCGCCCACGGACAGCATTGGGTTAGGTTACATCCAAGGATCTTCCTTTACATCCCAGTATTTGCGTATACAAAGCTCATGACTCAGAATGTAATTGGTCAAGGTCCACTGCCGACATCAAATTGTTTATGTAATTCTTGTTTCTGTATGGTCCTTGTGAATGTCAATCAAATTGGTTGCCGCGGTTTCAAGTTTCTTCTAGACGCAAAGGAGTCAACCGAGCTACTGTGGAGATCAATAGTAGTTTTTTGTGTCCTTAGGGAGTGCTACTAGTTGGAACAGATCTTCAGCGTGTGAAATTTGGGGTGGGTGTATGAACCAAGGGTGTATGATTAATCCGAAAACAATTCTGCATTTCCTTAGTCATGCGTTTTTGGGCAAAAATGATATGTAATCCCAGAACTATTTCCTTCAGACTAATATGGACTAGTCTGTACATATTATTGTTAAAGGTATCTTTTTTTAGTAAAAATTAATACAGAAAGACTGAGGATGAAGTTAAAATATGATTGGGACCGAACTGCAGAAAGGTACAGTAGCTAGTTAACTCAGGTCGACAACTATAAGGTTAGTAATAAAGAATAAGACACCAAATTTGCTAATATGAATTTCGCTAAGAGTGCATAATCAAATTAGATCATTAATGGAAATATGTCCATAAATTCAATATCTATGGTATATGGAGATGAATAATACAGTAAAAGGGCACATCAAAACCACCCTGTGCGGTACGAAAACATGCAGTATGCGGTTGAACCTAATAGCGGTAAAGTAAAATGCATTGTTTTCTTCTTTATAAACGCTTGCGAATAATAATCTAAGGAACACTAAGGACCCGATACAGGAGCTCTGGTGCTTTTGGAGAAACCAGTGATAATGCGTCAGAAAGGTTTCCTGTCCTAACGGTGTTCTGGTGTATCGGTGTCATGCGTCGGTGCAGAGCTAACACTGTGCTGCCTATTCTTTTTTTAACGATATTATTTAGCTTTAAATTCATAGAAAGAAAAAAAATCTTTAAGGCATAAAGCATCTTTTTATATTTGGAAGCTGTAAATCTGTAAAGAGTTGAATTGGCTAAATTAAAAATATACTGGCGAACTAGTGACACCTGATTTTCACCTTGTAGACGATGTGGGGAAGCCGAGCAAGAAACCCCCAAGCAGAAGGCTTGGATATACTGTATAGTTAAATGTGCAGGTTTAAAAATAATGGAGTGTATTGAAATGGTGCAATAAAGTGTTCTGACCTCAGAATATTGTGTACTGTTTTAGTCAGCATCTTGATATTGATATTGCTGTTCTGGACCTGGTCTTTAAAGAGTGAAGTCTACAAGGGGACCTTATTCGAGTATTCAAAATCCTCAAAGGCACTGAGGAAGTCAGTCAAAAGTGGTGCTTTTAAATCTGCTGCAAAAGATGAACCCAAGAACAAAATGCCTTTTGTCATAGGTCTTCTGGCATAGCTACCAAGATACTACTAAGCATAATTTCAAAGCTGCCTCCAGAACATGCTACAAAAAGAAATCTTAGTTGTCCGTGCTTCAGTTTTTATAAGTGATTAACGATCCATTATTAGTAGCTTATTCCTGGTAAGGCTTGCAGCAAACCAGAGCCTATTCCAGAACTGCATTCAGGAGGGGCCATCAGTCCATTTCAGGGCACACACCACACCTCACAGAGGGCTGGTTTAGAGACACCAGTGAGCCTAGCTGGCATGCTACTGGAAACTGGAATGAAATCCGAGTATCGCTGAAGGCACACACAAAAAATGTGAAGATCATGCAAATGACACATTGAAGTCAAACAGGGAACCCAAGAGCTGTGAAGCATCAGGACTGAATGCCACCTCTATCTACTGTACATACCTGTAACTGGTTATACTGCAGCAGAAACATAGTTTATTTTACTGCTTATATTATATTTGATAATGAACCTTTTGTATATAATACAAGTTGTGAACAAATGCATTATTGATCTGCATTAACTAGAGGCCCTGTGAATTGTTCAGACATTGTTTAGTTCTGCCATGTTCAGCAAGGGATACTGTTATGATCTGTCAGAAACACTAGCCTATGAATCATGGTCTGCCGTGTGTCTTCCTAAATCATTATTATTATCGTATTGGCTGCTCTGTCAACTCCGACGTTCAAATCTGACTCTGCTATTGCACCTTCTACCATGGCCTAGAATTTCTCTCTTTTTCTGCAGCTTTCCTCTGAGAACCCCACAAGGGAAACAAAGCTGCATTTCATTTTTAAGCACAACCTGGCTGTGCACTATAAAATGTTTTTGGCTTTTATTTTCATTTCCAGACTCGCTTCTTTATTTCAATATTTTCTAAATTCTCTCCTTTCCGTTTTTTTTTTGTTTTTCTGTTGAATCTATCTGCTACAACAAACTATCAGCTTTTTTTGTCTATTAATAGTTTTATATCCACCTACATATCATATATAGGCAGTATAAATATGGTACTGTATATGTGTGCCTTTTTTATTTTTTCACGATTCATTAACTGCAGTTATTGCTTTTGGCTCATATAAAAAATGAAATCTAATTTTACTGGGGAACATTCATTTTTCTGAGCTGAGCTGATATTCTGTTTCTATTGGAAACAGGTGTATCTTCCAGCTCTCTATAGTGTCTCTGATTTCAGGCTGGTCAGGCAAAAGGGGACAGCTTGACTGACACAATTATCTGAACAAGGCCATCAGTCAACATTCTTGAGCAAAGCTGAGGCTGATAAAATGGGAGTTGTTATTTCCGGATTTCAGGTTGGGGTACAAAAACAGAACACCGCAAATATCAGATTGAGCCTTCTGATCACATTTCAGACAGTGGCACAGTCCATTTTCTTGTATGTGTCACAAAATTAATAATTAATCTGGGAACAGACACACTAACTGCATACATAAAAAAGAAACAGGTTTAGTCAAAAGCATAGTGGATCACTGTTTAATGGAGAGTAATAAAAATGTGTGAAGAACCTTAGCTTCTGAGACATTCTGAGATCAAAAGCAGCTGGCTGGTCTCAGAAAACATACCCCCGAGAAAAAGATGTAAGGAGGTTTTATTTTTCCTTCCTTTAAATTTATACTTCCGAATATCATGTCCCTGCTTCTAGCTGGGGTTCATCAGAATGCTCGCTTGCTATCCCCCTTGGGCTGGGCTCTAATGAGGATAATGTCCATTTCCTGGTGTGACTCAAAGTATTAGGGAGCGTAGCTAATGGTGATGGTGCTTTGTCACATAAATCAGGCAAACAAAATCCCTCCAGGAATGAATGTCTGTATCCAACAGCACCGGCTATCACTTTACAGGCTAATAAGACTGTTGACAGAAAGTCAATCAATCTTGCATGTAAATACATACCTAGTATTCTATTTTACACATTTATTCAACAGATGGATTGAAAGACCCACCTTTAATTATTCAGCCTGCACCAACATCCTCAACCTCCCAAAACAGGACCAAAAGTGGTTGAAGGGATGAAAAGAGCTGATGTCGGGTGCATGAAAAACACTTAGAACTGTCAGAATGAGTAAGTGACAAAAATATTGCTAGGTATTGCCTTGATTATGAATGCTGTATGGTTAAGACAGATAAAGGGTCTACAGCAAAAGCCAGATGTAACAGTTTTGTTTGCAGATCATGCATAAAGGACATACTGAAATTTCAAAAGGTAGGTAGTGTTTCATACACATGATGTGCATCAAGGAGCTTCGCTGCTTACTGTCACCTGGAAATGACCAGTGAACACAATCAGAAATCACATCTCCTGCCTCTTTCTGAAGGAATGCATTCACCTGAAAAGAGCTGATTGAAAGTATTTAAGACTGTGTGACAGGGTAGTCTAACACGCGTGACTGTAAAAAGTGAGGTTTTTCTCCTGCTAATGCTGTTATGTATTGGATTTATTCATTTTTTATTTGCTGCTTGAAGCCATCAGGAGCCTTCTGTATTAGTGGTTTGCTGACAGGACAGAGTTCAATATAATTAATAATAATAATAATAATAATTGCTTACACTTATATAGCGCTTTTCTGGACACTCCACTCAAAGCGCTTTACAGGTAATGAGGACTCCCCTCCACCACCACCAATGTGCAGCATCCACCTGGATGATGCAACGGCAGCCATAGTGCGCCAGAACGCTCACCACACATCAGCTATCAGTGGGGAGGAGAGCAGAGTAATGTAGCCAATTCATAGAGGGGGATTATTAGGAGGCCATGATTAGTAAGGGCCAATTGGAAATTTGGCCAGGACACCGGGGTTACACCCCTACTCTTTTCGAGAAGCGCCCTGGGATTTTCAATGACCACAGAGAGTCAGGACCTCGGTTTTACGTCTCATCCGAAAGACGGCGCCTGTTTACAGTATAGTGTCCCCGTCACTATACTGGGGCATTAGGACCCACATGGACCGCAGGGTGAGCACCCCCTGCTGGCCCCACAAACACCTCTTCCAGCAGCAGCCTTAGTTTTTCCCCAGGAGGTCTCCCATCCAGGTACTGACCAGGCTCACACCTGCTTAGCTTCAGTGGGCTGCCAGTTGTGAGTTGCAGGGTGATATGGCTGATATGATCTACTATTCCCTTTAACACTGAAACGACAGTGTGGTACTTAAAATACTGCAGCAACACTGACCAATGAATGTAATCGCTTTTCGAAACAATAGTGAAAATGCTTTTCCACAGGTAAGGCATTAAAGACTGACTTATCAGATTTCTTCTGTTTCTGCAGCTCTGTCCAATCAAATTGACAAAATGTGTTTATTAACAGAACATTAAAATGAAGCAAATGGCAACCATGTCTTCTTCTGCACCTTCCGTGAAAATGTCCATCTTTT